CTAGAGAATAATCTTATCCTTGCTGAATCAAGAATAAAGGATTTAGAATCTCAGGTTATTAAAGACCGACTTCATTTTCCACAGAAACTCAAACCAATAAAAAAACGATGCTTTGGAAACTGACCTAGAGTAAACCGATCTAAATAGTATTCGACCTAATTAGCGAGTAGTTTTTATGGAAATATCGAGTATGTTTCACTCCCCGCCGGTTTTCACGGATATAAAATAAATCGACTACGTCTAAAATCAATCCAACTTCAGGGAAATAGCCAGATCTTTTAGGTCGGAAAACCTGTTAGAAACCTCCTAAGTCTGGAAACTCTTAGGTCAGTTTTCTCTAGGTCGGGTGAGCGGGTACTAAGTTAAGATAACGCCTTATGCTGAGCTTATACATCTACATAGATTTGATTAGATCTCTTAAATAAAAATATCCTGAACTGTCATCGTTCAAATTTTTTAACTTTGTCCAAAAAAAAAGAAAGGTTTTGACAAATAATTGTATTTGAATAGAGGAAATGTAGTACATACAAATGATATTAAAATTCAGAGATTTCTCAATTATAAAATTCTTTTAATTTCTTAGGTGGATGGTTCTTTGGAACCAGACAAAATACTGGAAGATAAACAAGAACTAATGGCGCTGAATCTTGCTTTATCAGAACGAATCAGGTAAATTGTTGTTTCATCATTCAAGGAACTTTTTAAAAGTCGTCTTTTTAATCTACAGTTTATGGGTCGTGTATGTAAAATACATACAGTCATCGTCGTATATGTCAATACAAGGAACACAATTTTCGACTTCAATTTTGTATACCAAGCTATTGAAACAGCGTGGATACCAATCACTGCGATTTAATGGTCTCACGCTCTCAAACAAAAATCGTTGAGAATTTTGCCATTTACTTCTAAAAAACCAAATCTAACAAGAAGTGCTTTATAGTGCTAAAATGTACATGTAAAGGGCTACAAAAAAGCATAAGTGAGTTAGAGCGGTAAAATCTAAGCTTAGGGCGTTGCGACACTTCAAAGTCAGCCCAGTCTTAAAAATTGATGAGACTTTTTATAAGGAGGCTGAATCTATGTGCAATGATATTAAATACATTTTATAAACGAAGAATTTACGTAATTTTGTACGTCAAATAAATATTATTTCTAACTCGAGAA